CCATATCGGACAGTTACTGGGGAGGTACCGTCTTCGCCGTCGGCTGGATATACATCTCATTCACCGTCTTGGCGCTCTTCCCGACAGCAGTCGTAAACCAGCCGAACCCCTTTGTTAGCGCGCCGACCGGATCCTTCTGGAACTCGTCTATGCCCGGCACTGCCCCACCCGCGGGGGATGTCTTGGATCCTGCCGTGGGGGGCATGCCGCCGCCGAAGCCCGTGAATTTCCCGCCCTGCGAGGGCGGCAGGGAGGCCGAGCGCGTTGCGTTCTCGGACCCCAGCTTGGCGAAGTATGCCTCGTTGCGATCTTTCCTGCTCGCGCCGGCGGCGTCGAGACCATCGAGCGAGGCGGGGGAGCCAGCGCCGCTGCCCCTATTCGTGTTCGTGAATGGCGTGCTCGACCGTGATGTGGATGGCTCCGCGGCTGGTTTTTTGGGCTTCGGCTGGCCGGGGACGTATTCGCGGCCCTCGACGGTGGCGGAGAGTCTCTCCTTCCATTCTTCGCCGACCTCGCCTTCGTACCGTTCCTTGATGGTTGAGTCTTCGAAGGTCCGGCCTTCGGACTGGGTGATCGGGTGGTTGTCGTAGAATGTCTTCCAGGGGTCGTTGCCTCCGTTCTCCATGCGTAGGATCTCGGAGGTCTTAAAGGCGTCCATGGTGATGGAGCGGACGAACGAGATATGCACACCTAATCCACGATGCGTGCCGGCGCAGTTGAGGCAGATGAAGGTTCCGAATTTAGGGGAGGCCTAGACAGGAGCGCCAGGTCAGACTACTGTCCAAGTATCCAGCTATGTGTTATTGAATTGGGGGCAATGGTGCGGGGGTTGACGAGAGGTCAAAGAGTGGACGAACCCATTGGGGCGAAGGAGCACCGCAGTCGCAACATTTGTCGTTTCCATTCGTCTTGGAGATTTGAAGAAGCTAATTAGAGGAATCATCAGAGTCAGCCTGGTTATCTCGACATTACACAATCGCGGCAAAACCAGGAGGCAGATGCATACCTTGGCCTTCGTTTCTGGATCAACCTCCCACATTCGAGACATGATGTGTTGTGTAAATCACAAAAAAAATCATAAAAAGGACGGAAATAAAATAAAAAGAGAGCAGATTAGAAGACAATGGCTCTCTCAACCCCCTAAACGCACTGGTGTGTTTGGAGTTAAAGCCGTCGTCAGTTCCCTAATTCAAGTTATTGGCGGGGCCGCCCCCTCCACAGAAGATGCTTGGTGGCCACAATGCAAGACTTGGACGAATAGAGCAATGGGTTGGATAAGGATAGACAATAGGCATATAAGAGATATATTGATCCAATTATGTTAGAAACAAATAAATAGTGTCTCTCTGCCCAAGGATGAAGACTGTTTGACCTCAGGCTCGTGGTCGAGAATGAGCGCCAAGAAGTCTTCCATCGGACTACCAAATACCTTATGACGGAGCCCGGGGAAGATACCGCGCAAAACGATCAAACTCCACTATCAAAAATCATAATCACGGGTACTGATGACGGATGACAATAGTCGTTCAAGGTAGACTACAAAAACAAGAAAGACAATCAAGGCCAGCCTTGCGGCATATTTCATAAGCTAAATGGTGGCTAAGATACAATACAGCGAATAAAGGCAAGATTCGTTAGAAAAGGTCGAGTCTCCCGTCATCACGAGATCCTACGCCGTTGGTCATCTCTCCGGGTAGGGAAGCCAGTTTGGCTGTCCCATATAAAACAAAGGAAAAAACATCATCATCACTCAGTGCTGCGTCCCCTCTGACCAAGGCGAACGGAAATGATATCCACAGCTTTTCCCCAGGCCTCTTTTAATCGAGAAAAAGAAAACTTTTGTCGAAAAGGGCATCTTCACGATGCTTACCTATGAATATAATTATCCATGCGCATTGGCCATCACCTCTCCACCATCACTGACCCCCGACTGACTTTCATCGGCCGAGAAATCAGAAACTTGTTCTTGACTGGAACGATCTTGACATTTACTCAGCAGCTGGGGGAGTGTTCTCCTGCTCCTCGGCGGCAGGAGCGGCAGCCTCAGTCTGCTCAGCCGCGGGAATGGCGTCATCCTCCTTGCCGGGACTGTCAATGGCGACCTTGACGGCAATCTCACGACCCTCAATCTCCTTGCCATTCATCTCCTGGACGGCCTTCTCCTGGAGCTCCTCAGAGCCGAGAGTGACGAAACCAAAGCCACGACCCTTACGACGCTCGTTGCGGGCCTGGAGCTTCTTGATCATGAAACGAGGAATGGGGCGCAGGGCAATCTTGGCGGAAACAGGCTGGTAATCGGCAAAGATTTCCTTGAGCTGAAGAAGAGAGTTAGCAACTAAGCTCAGGTTGATCCAGAAAAATACGTACCTTGTCCTCGGTCAGATCATAGGGCAGGTTAGCTACCATGACTTTGGTCTTGGAAGGAATGCCATCCTCGGGGGGACCACGCTGCTTCTGAGGACGAGGAGCACGAGGCTTGCCAGTCTGCTTAGCGGACTCGCCAGCAGTGGCATTAGTAGCCTCGTTGGCGACCTCGGTCAGAGGGTCAACCTGACCGGGAACGTTGGTAGGAGCCTCAGTAGTAGCGGGACCGTTCTGGTTCTTAGGGCCACATTGTCAGCAAGGCATTGGATAGCCGTTCAGAGTGTAAATGAGACTTACGCGACCTCCACGACCGAAGCGACCTCCACGGCCACGGCCGCGACCGCGACCACGGGCACGACCACCAGCCCGCTTGCGGCCTTCAGTGCCACTGGCGCCCTCACCGCCACTTGCAGCACCCTCCGCCTTAGCCTCGGCAGGCTCTGGCTTGCGGGCCAGCTGAACAGAGACCTTGCGCTGAAGGATCTCCTTTCCGGAGAGTTCCTCGATAGCAGCAGAGGCCTCGTGAGCAGTGGCGAGATCCACAAACGCATAGCCAACAGGGCGGTTAGTGCGGGGATTCACAGGGATGGAGGTGCTTTCGCTGTAGAGAAATCGTGAGTTAGAATTTGAATGCAATTACGACAACGGAAAAAAAAAAATATTCGGTCTTAATGAGGTTATTGAGATCCCAAGTGTAGCTTTCCAATGCGTGGCGCGGTGGTGTGCTCAGTGCTGTGACACACGTGGCGGCATCTACCCCAACAGTAATAGGTCTGCTACCCGTTCCCGCAGCTACCAGCACACTCAAGGATCCAAAGCGAAGACGGAAGAAATGAAGCTCAACAAGGGGCCGCAACTCACATCTTGTAGTTCTTGAAGAACTCCTTGAGCTCCCCCTCAGTGGTCGCGTAAGCGAGGTTCCCAATATACAGCCGACGTCCCTCATCGGCACTGACCGCCGCAGCATCAGTGGGCTGGGTCGGAGCAGGGGCAGTACCGTTGGTGGCCTCGGTGGTGGTAGGGGCCTGGTTGTCGGCTTGGTTCTCGGCGGCAGCAGACATCTTGAAAGACTGATGACACAAAAGTAGGTGTGGTTTGTTGATCGGACTTGACGAGATGCACGGATGTGGTTGATGTGTCACGGACTCAGGGAAAGCTTGAAGTGGCCTGCCTGTTCTTTTCTGGACTTGACGTTTGACTTGACTTGATCGGTTGGGACCGGAAGAACTTGAAGAGGGGGGTGGAGGGAGGAAAAGGGTAGCTTGGTGCCCTAGATACGGAAAGTTGAGGGGAAAATCCTGGGTTTGATCTCAATTGAAGATTTGCCTTGAGAGGGAGAATGGGAAGTCGAGACGGAGAAAGGAGAAGGCGAGAGAAAAAGGGCAGCAGCAGCGGGCGGTGGCACGCTAGTCTGTTTGTGGTAGGTTGATGCCTGAGGATGCGCTTCTCACAGTGCTCCGTCTGGGCTGCTCTCGGGGGGCGGTGAGCCCTGAGTCATCGGCGGTTGGCCCCTAAGCTTAGGCTTTGGATCCACCTAAGCCTTGCTGGGCCTTAGGGGGATCGAACGGGCTCTCTTAGCTTCCATTAGGGACTCTTCCGACAAAGCAGACCACAGAATGTCAGGTTCTGGACGAAGTTGACATCACCGATATCCACTCTCCGGTGGCTAGTAGGCCTAGTGTACCAAACATTGGATTACGGTGAGCTATGGTACGATTTACCAATTCCTATGAGATTGTCATGCTAACCTAAGCCAGGCAAGAGTAAACATCCTGAATTCATAAGTAGCAAGTATTGTCTTCTGCGTTACCGTTAAACGCAGCCAAGACCACTATGGTAGATCCCAGACTTGCCACTTTTAGATAGTGAGCTCGTGCTCGTATCCGGGCTGGGCTCCACAGTTTAACCAAACCCACCGCACTTTCGATCGCCGTTGACTACCGTCCATAAAGTTTCCATTGTGACTACCCATCGAAATCGAGTCTCTCCATCGAGGTTTCTCCCCTCCCCTCCACTCGCAAGAACCTCCTTCTGGCTTGCAGTATGTAGAGCTTTACCCGTGTTTCCTGTTCTCCGGCCATCGACGCTTCACCATATCAACCTCCTCCTAGATCCTGGCATGCAACTCTTCCCATGTCCCATTTAGGAATACACGATGAGAGATTCCGAGCGCTTGGTTTTCGCAAAGAGTCTCAACCATCTGTGCCTGCGGCCATGCTCCTTGACTCGAAGTGAAAATGGCCGTCGGGGTTGGCGGGTGCATCAGCTGGTGAATGCGTCCTCTTGGTTTTAACACGCTCAAGTAATGCTTCCACCACTCACGAATCATCATATTACCGAATTTAGCTGTGGTGAGATGCTCTTCCTTCTTTCAGAAGAATTTGGGTCACCGAGGATGGCAAATATTACCCGCAAATGCCACAGAAACTTCGGGGACTGTACAGCCATGTTCTTGCAAACAACTCCCAAGGGAAATTCCGTGTGACCATCTACGCCATGTCTCTGAAGAATGCTTTTGTACAGGGGCTTGCGAGCCTGATACTGTGCTGTATATCATGGATGTAAGGATGGATACCGGAGTGGCTGCCGGGTCGATTTCCGCCTGTATTTGTATACCAAATGGGCTTTGAGGCTGCCTAACAAAGGGTGCGATAGAGGTTGAGTGCCGCCAAGTTGTCCCACAGGCAGAGGGTACTGCTGAGCTTTAGGTCAAGCATCAAAGGGCGCGACAGGCGCGACAGGCCAACCGCAGTGCTGAGCATATACTGACCAACATTCTTCATAAAGCTTGTTCTGGTGAATGCTAGGCCTTTGACTGCAGCGATCGAATCTACTATCTGGCCAATGTTGATGGTTCCAATAGCCTTGTCATTTACCTTAGGGCTCGATTCGTCATTCTTGGTAACGGCAGGATTTTCTTCTTCCTTTGGGAGTTTTGCCTTTTTGGCGAGGATATTAGGCCCAGAATTGCTGTTCATCCTGTTGCTGGGCACCTCCAACTCTTACTTTGTTTGTGGCTTAGGCTGTTTGACTGTAACTATTCAGATATATTAGCACTTCTTTCTTGGCCTCAATAGGCTATTTAGTACCATTGCAGAGCCAATTGGTTTTGGGGCTATATTGGACTTGGGGGTCCGAGTCTTCTTCTTTTCAGTCATTGTGAGAATGCGTTCTAACGTGCAAGATCCACGGCAGTTCTTCGAGGTCTCGTTAATTGGAATCGAATATGCAGATAACTGACGTACTGTTGCTGCGTTACTCCCAACCTCTAATATCATAGCTGGACACTTACTTATGCTGGCACTGTCTCAGTAGGGCACACTTTATCGTAAAGTTTGATTAATTAAAGTGTCTTCCAAAGAAAAGCCCTCAAGAGATATGTTTACATCAAAGGAAGAGAGAATAGCGAGGTAGATGCGCACGGAGTAGATTAGGGCGTTTATATATTACTACACGAGTCTCAAGTGAATATAGGATAGATCTACTTCATAGAATAGGGAATCTCATTACTACCATCAAGTCTTGCTTGATTAAGGCGTACTTAAGTCTAGAACTTTTACTGTGCTAGAATAATTATATTGATTCTATGCTTTTCCACTCAACATACCTCTCTAGTTGTGTCATCACTAATTGTCAGATAAATTCTGGCCTCAGGCATCGACGTTTTTTCCTCCTGTTCAGATTTCGAGTTATATATCAGACGAGGTAGCTGATAAATTGGCGTCAAGAGTAATCTAATATTGCATACTATATTTCTGTGGCTTGTGATGATTAATACAGCAAGTCTTGGATGACAAAGTGTGAGAGCAAGTAAAATCAATCGCGATGGACAATCCTTGGAGAGACCAATGGTCGGCCAGGACGACCTCGTCCAGCGCCTCGACGTCAACCGGACATGGACGTCGCTAGGTAGCTGTGGAGACTGCAGACGCTCTTAGTGACCTCTTAGTGACCGGACTTAAGAGGGGTACAGGGCTACAGGCAGATTGATAAGCCCTGAGAGAGCCGTGGATGACACCCTTAAGGCCTGAATGTGATTTAGTGATTAGTCAAAGGAGTCCGGACTTCATTCGGACATGTGAATGGCTGGTTACTGGTTACTGGTTCAGGTTCTCAACCATTGCCTCGCCCAAGTATCCCGGCTGGTACTTCATCCTATTTGCCTCTGCAAAACCTTCTTAAACTCTTCCCTGTCCTCTGCACCTTATCTTTGAGAAAAAGGACACCACTCCCTTTTTCCTTCAGTTATCCCCAATGGATCGCATAGAGCCTGTGGGCGGCTCTTCCGATCCCTCTGAGGACCTTCACCCGCCTTCTTGCAACGATCCGATACCTGAGGGGACAACGTCATATCTCCGACCACGCGCCCCATCAGTACGCTCGCGCCGTCCAAGTATCCGCATCCAACGCCCACCATCAATCAATAGCCTCAATTTACAGGCGCAGCTAAATGCGGACAACGGTAATACCCTGAGTGTGAACTCTGAGGACGCATTCAATTCTCGAAGAAATTCTCATATCTTAGGGCCCGACGCTACCAGAGCCGTTCCGAATGATGGGACGCCGAAGGATGGAACTCGTGGTGGTGGCGATGGAGATGATGGCGATGCTGTCTGGCAGGGTCKCCGGCGTAGCAACTCCGAGCCTCGTCCAGGTCGTTGGTCGGCGTCCAACTCTTTCGTTCCTCCGCTGTCGACGACAGGAGATCAGACGAACGTGATGCCCATGTATTCTTTGAAGGAGGAGCCGTCAAGTCCTCACAGTCCAATTGGCGAGCTTCCTTCTTCCCAGCCTTTTTCGACAGTGCACCTTGAGCCTCCTCCATCGGTAATTCCAAGAAGAGGAAGCCGGAATATCTTGCGTCGGACCAGCGGAGTAGCTCTCAATCGATTCTCGCGGAATCGCGCGTCAACCGTCAATGGCGCTGTTCCTGTCACGCCGCCTCCAAATCCAAATGTCAATGAATATCACCCTCACATGGTAGATGTGCTGGACGTTATCGGTGAGTACTTGTAAACGAGGCTTTATATGTGACGAGCTGCTGATCAAGGTATAATCTACACTCTGCAGACCCCGAAGTAGCCGCTTTATCAACTCTCACCAACGTCCAAAATTCTCTTTTTATTCCGAATCTAGGTGGTTGGATCAACCGCATGCCCACATATACCCTCTCGCCGCCGAGCCCTCGCGATGAGTCAAGTACAGAGACTGAGGGGGATGAAACAACAGAGACGGACACGAAGCAGACCCGTCCGGCTAAAGCCACCCGCCTCTCTTCTGTGCTAGACGAGGGCCCTGAGCGCCAATTCGCTGTTCTTCCTGAACAAATGACGTTGGAAGGATGGACAAAGGGAGAGTTGGAGGAGTTGAACGATCGGGTCAGACATATGTTACATTCCCGACGTTCTGCCTTCAAGCGGTCCATGGTTGGATTTGGCAAATACATATCGAAACGTAAGTCGTCGTCTGTCGTGCATGTTTCGCTGCCCTTGTGGTTCGTGGCTGATAGCAGTTTTGTCGACAGCGCTAGGGTTTTTGGTTACTCTATACGCAACTCTCATCACCCTTTTTGGTCTTGCATGGGTGCTTTTCCTTATTGGTATGGCCTGCTCCTAAGACTTTACCGAATCCTGACGCTAACATACAAAAAGGCTGGATCAATGTCGGGGGAAAGCAACTCTACGTCATTAATGTCATCGACAACGTCCTCGTGGCTTTATTCGCGATCATGGGCGACGGCCTGGCCCCCTTCCGAGCCATCGACACCTACCACATGATCTTCATTGCGCGCTACACCTTTCTAACCTGGAAGATCCGTAAGAAGCGCGCACTCCCGGCGCTCAAGGACAAGAACGACCTCCCCGAGGGCCGCGAAGTAGACGTCGACGTTGAGCTCGGCGACAACCCCAAGGATGAAGAGCACGAGTTCTCCGTGCTCAGCCCCACCCAACAGCGCAAACTCATGCACCACCAAGAGAAATTCGCTAAATCCCATACGTTCTACAAGCCTCACGAAACATACACCCACCACGCCTTCCCACTGCGCCTCCTCATCGCCATCGTCGTTCTACTGGACTGCCACTCTCTCTTCCAGATCGCCCTCGGCGCCTGCACATGGGGCATCAGCTACCACGTGCGCCCCTTCGCCCTCACAACCGTCATCCTCTGCTGCTCCATCACCTGCAACATCATGGGCGGCGTCCTGATCATGCTCGGCGACCGCCGCACCCGCAAGAAGGACGTCGTCGAGCGCCTCTTCCGCCAACAGCTCACGGAGGAAGCCGCGAAGAAAATGCAGAAGAACAAACGCAAGGAGGAGATGCGCAAATCAATCGAGCTGAGGAAGTCACTGGATCAGTCGCGTATGTCGATCGACCGAAGCCCGTTGAAGGTTACATCATAGCCTTGACAACATCATCCTCCTTCTCTTTCCCCTATCTGCTACATTATGAAGACTACGAATATACCCAATCGCTCGGGTCATCGGTGCTCGCTATCACCATGTACTATATCCACCTGTGCGATCACCTATTCACCGCATCTAATCTTACATCCACATTATACATGTGCATTATAATTACGACTGTGATTTATGGCATCTTGGAGTCGATTCCGTTCATGTCCTGTCTGCGTGCTTGAGAGCGTTGGTATCTAGTTCTGTTTGCTTAACAACTTGCTAGCGATTTTGTTGTCTAGATTCAGGGCCGTCTAGAGCATCTGTTTCCGAATCTTGATGTGATTGCTCCAACATCATAAGCCTCCATGTCTCCGTAGCATGATCTGATATTACGGACCCACCAGCTGTAGTGACCTCGGATTGTACCTTGACAAAAGATGTTTTGCATTCTATGCACTGAGCGAAGTAGAAATCGTCCTATACAACCCAAGAGAGGGTCCGAGAACAAGAGAGAAAAAAGGAAAGCGAGAGATGTATAGACATGCAGTTGGCGCTTATTTACAAGATATTCAAATGCCAAAAAAAAAAAAAAGGAAACCTATGGAGGCTCAAGCAAACTGTACAAGAGATATGAGCAAGGAGACTGGCTTGGGAAAAAGCGAGACTGGACTTCACGCCACTAGCTGATCGCTGTCGAACATGGAGTTAGAAATGAAGAGGAAAGGTAAGTCATTTCGAAGAGCAAATGACCCGCTTAACAAGGTTATGGAGGTACGAAGATTGAAGGAAAACGAATTCAAGCGAGGGACACGCCAAGTCTCGGCTGATCGTCAGCCAAGAAGGCGGATGTGGGAGTTGATAGTTGTGTGAAAAACGGCTGTGATCCAATCCATGGGTATTCACAGTTCTCGATGTAGCGCCTCATCGTCGGTGGTCTTTTGCGAGTTTCGTCTGCTCAAGATCTCTTCGAGGACGTCGAGCCGCTCGCGAGTAGTCCTGATAGCGTGGTTCATCTCGTGATCAGACATCCTCTCATTGCGCAGCTTGTCCTGCAGCTGAAGGGAACCTTGGCGTAGCTGGGAATCGGTGGGTCGGCTAGCTGCCGGAAAGGTCATTCCCTCCATGCCAACTCGATCCTCCAGCCAGCTCCAGAGTTCACTCTCCTCCCTTCGCCACATCTCTTCATAAGCAGCTAGCCGCTGAGGTAAGGAATAACCAGGACATCCTATATCATGCGACACCCGCGAGGTTTGAGAAGGGCTTCGGAAGAAGACAATGAAAAGCAAAATGCCAATAACCAGAACAGCAACATTGCCATTCAACACCGGTTTGAGGATATCCACAACAGGTCCAAGCAGCCCATGGACCGGCTCCAGAACACCCCAAGACTTGGCCTGCGACACATCCGCATCCTGAGCTGCGTTAGAGACCACAGTGGCTGCCTCTTCGGCCCCCGTATCGGTCTTTCTACGTTTGCCATTTTTACCGCCTGCTTTAGTAGCGCCTGCGCCACGAGCACGGGGAGCAACAGCGGCTTTGAGTGCACCGACAAGCTCGTTGCCGAATGTGGTCTGGCCATCA